AGAAGAGAGATATAGATACATAGAAATATAATTATATGATAGATGCGCTAGTTATTAACGTGTGTATGTGGATAATAGTAAAATTAAATATAATATAAAATTATACGATATATATACCTTGTGTCGTCGAGTCGACTCGATGATTTCGACACTATTTAATCGTGATTGAGATCCGTCTATACTTCGCGGCGGCGGCCTAACTATCACCATGCGCTTCTCGGATGCGACCACTGTACCTTCCGGAAGAGGTGGCGCGAGCGGACTCATCGGAGACGGAGGGATATCATCCGATTCCGAAAGATGCTGCATAACTATAAAAAGATCCGGATAAGAATATATATGTAACGGATAAGGAAATATGACAGCGCCACGTACTTCTTTTCAGTTGATCCAATGTTTTGATTTTAAACAAAATATTCCAAGAATATATATACCATGCCGTTCCATGCATTATCTATTCGTTTCTATATTATTATTTATTCATATTTTTGTTATAACTTTTTTTAGTACCGTTATATGTGCTATATGTTAAAAGTTTCAAAAATACAGAATAGTTTTGTTAACTATATGTTGTTTGATGAGATTAAACATTACATTATATGTCGTGCTAAACTGACGCGATTCTTTTATCAAAGTTTACTTCAATTTTTTTTTGAGGAAAGTAGTTCATTTCTCTTAATAGTAGCATCACGGTTTGTTTCTTCGACGATCTAATCTCTCTGTTCTTAATAGGCAAGACATCAGTGCACCGACCTCTTCTAGGAGAATCGCTGGCAATGCTGTCAAATACATGATCGGACTGCCATTCGTCGTCATCAGAGTGACTGTCACTACGCCTGATGATTTTATTATCCCGCGAAAGCGCAACACCAACCAAAACATCCTTTGATGATCTGGCTGCCTCCTCGGCTCTATCCAGCAAATCCTTTTCAAACCTATAAAAGAATTACATTATTACATTATTTATTCCTTTATACCCTTATTTATATCTTTAAAAATTATATGCAATAAATTGTATTTTTTAGATTTTACCGAGAGCAAACATTATCGTGTGATGTTTCAAAACAATTTAAGATAATTAGCGTCTTATCCGAACATAGTGAATGAACGCACATCCAAAAAATACAAAGATACATGCCAGTTAAGTGGTCCTCCGACCGAAGTAAGCAGCGGCAATCGTCGGCGACGCGCACAAATGGTGTAGACAATCACTGCCGAGATCGCCCCGGTAGCAGCTCCAACTGTGCCCAGAACGGCGACTACTCCGGCACCGTGAACATCCATCTTAATTGCGAATCTATATCCACATCGTTACGTTTAAATCTTCTGTCAACGAGCGATATATTGCGGCTGTCAAACAGCTGTCGTTCGATCTCGCCGCAATTGATCTCGAGAATTAATCGCAACGATATTATCAACTTGAAGCCTTGAAACCGTAGTTTGCTTTATATATTTTATATATAAACATCTTTCATTAACACATCTTTCTCTTTGAGTGTGTACGTCCTGTTTTAATATAAAACTATAATTTATAAAAAAAATCTAATTATTTAAGTTATTAATATTTAATTTCTTAATTCAGACGAGGTTGTCATTGTAAGAATGAAGCACACGAACGCTTTACAATGGAAATGTAACGCAAGAGACACAGAGATCATCAGTCTGACATACGGTAGAGCGAGATAAATGTACGTCAACACTCACCCCGTTCTTGCGACGTTACATTATTCTCCTGTTCAACTGGAATGAGAGGCTAGCGAGCAAGGGCTATTCCTTGACCCTCCAATAAATCACAACAGAGACATCGCGTCAGTAGCTTCGGAAAGCAATTCGTCACATTCGCGACTATCCACAGCTAATACATATACGTATACTCTCTTTCACCTTGTAGACTCACCCCTAGAAGAGCGTTTCTGTGCGCCTGCGTTCGTATACGAGCGATGACGAGGGATCATCGAGCGACCTTGAATTGTGGAGTGAAGAGTACGATTCGGAAAGTTTTCCTACCAACTCTCTTACGCGCAAAAAGTATAATCAGCGAAGATCGAAATGATAAAGAAGCATTCTCAGGCCCAAAATTTACATATAAAAAATATATAGTCCAACTTTTTTTACATGACAAGCTTTCTTTAGGTATTATCTTTAAAAAAATTCTGTGAATAAAAAGTGTAAAATGATTATTAGCGATCAAAGTGTGATAATTTTTTTTATATGATTTTAGCTAATATTGTTAATAATCAACAATCGATTATTTTCGATAAATCCAAGATCTTGTTAGTAAATAAAAAACAATTTTAATAATTTTAAATTTTAGATATTTTTTATATTTACTATTCTCTCTTCTCGTTGAAGTGGAGGGAAAAAAATCTTTTTGACTTAGATATATAATTGCTAATTTTTTTAAATAATTTACTATATAGATATGTATACAACTCGGAATTGCGTGAACTTAAATCCGGCACTGAGAAGAACAGCTATTTATCTACTTATCCCACATTGATACGTCAAGAGAGAAAAAGAGAGAGAGAAAATCGATATCTTTATTGAGATTTCCGTGCGTAATCGCGCCCTAAATCGCTCTTTTATGACCCAATATCATTTTCGTACAGCGAGCCCAAATTATGTGTGTGTGTGTTTCGTTCTCTGTGAAAATTTTTACATATAGGATATCTGATAAAAACTTGGTATTCACATTTAATGCGATAATTCTTTTTTATTTTTTTTACGTGTGTATATGCGAAAAGGGAATAAAGGTCTAATATCGCATGCGAAATCTTGTTTATGGTTCGACATATTGCATTTTTAAGTATAAATCCCCAAAGATGCTTTTTTTTTCTTTGTAATGTAACGAAACGCAATTGAATCAGACAAATATTTGTTCTACAAGTAAAAATTATCAGTATTAAAAACCATAGATTAAAAAAAACACAAGAAAAAAGAAAGGATTATATTAAATTATACACACACACACACACATATATATAATATTAATAAAAAAATTTTACGCATAAATATGTAAAAGACATTAATATATAACACACTGACTATACAGGGTGTATATAAAGTCTGTTCCTACCCCCTATATTTCGGAAATGGCTCAAAATTATGAAAAACCGCGAAATACATGTTCGATCATTTCAAAAGGCTACTTTTTTAAGGGTTGGAGGACTTGTCTCCCCAAGAGGGTGCCCCAACTCAAAAATTTCAAATAGAACCCCCCATATATATTATAGTATATCGTTTGAAAAGGCAAAAATATAGGGGGTAGGGACAGATTTTATAGACACCCTGTATGTTAAAAGTAAGAGAAGAGGGAGGGGAAGGTCAAGAATTTATTGTTAGTCATAAGGGAAATGAATGGAAACGTTACTGATTTCGATTTGCATATACTTGCGCTTGTGTGGGTAACATGTTCTACACATTTGTAGTTGAATAAACTTCGTGTGTAGAACCATGTTGACGGAATTGTCCGAAGCACATCGAAGTTAGTAAGATTTGCTATTATCCCTTCTCATTGCAAATTTAGGCTGCGTTTGTATGAAACTACAAGTGCTGCAAGCAATTAATTCACCAATCAGGATAAAGAAATCTTTGCCTCGATTAGTTGATCAAATACTTTCAGTACTTATGGTATGTATGTACAGCATCAAAGCAAATGCAGCTTTAGTTTCACATCTATGACTTTGACCTAGTTTACACCGATATATACTTTAATACATATTAAGTACTACACTGGCCAATCATAGCCATTCCATTCTTTAGAGGAAAGGCTATGATTGGCCAGTATAGTACTTAGTACGTATTAAAGTATATCGGTGTAAACTAGGCCTATATCTATGGAAGATCAATCGTCAACAATCGTCAAGTATGGCGACCAAAAGAGTGAGGGAGTTATGTACCCCTTTTAGCAAATTGTACAGAAAAAATACGTCCGCATTAAATACGATAACGCAACGTATGTATGCAACTGTGAACGAAGGTGACACTCAAGTAACTCACACTGGTCAGGTGAGCTATCCTTTATTCACGCTCATTATTTGAAGAAAAAGGGTTTAACCCTTTCAATAATTTTTTTTTTTTTTTCTTAAATCAAAATTATATCGATTTTATCAGGTATTCGAAAAAGATGACTATCGATTGGTAAGATTCGTGGACAGGCCAAAAGAAGTTAATGAAAATTGGGCGATTAAATTGATAAATGAAGTGCCACCATCTCCTAAAAAAGAAAGAATAGTAGCTTGCGATGGTGGTGGAGGCCCACTTGGACATCCTAAAGTGTATATAAATCTGGTAAAATATATGTCAATATACACATAGACTATTTATATTCAAGCATATGTTAGTCAATATTCATTGTTGAAAAGATTTAATTTATAAATAGTACTATACAAATATAATAAATAACATATTGAATCTATTTAAAAAAAAAATCATATTTGTTTTATTCTTTTTCTAGGATAAACCAGGCAACCATAGCTGTGGTTATTGCGGTTTACGTTTTTATAAAGAGGATCATCATTAGGTAATCACTATATATAAGTAGTTACATTATCAATTAAAAAATATGTATATATTTTAGAATACAGTGTGCATGTTTTATGTTGAAATAAAATAAAACTGTGCAATTTATACAATGCATTTTAATCATATCTTAACTGTACCAAATAATATATATTTAATAATATAGATTTCTATAAAGCCTGCTATCAGATAGTGTACCAGTATCACGACATACTTGTATATGTTTGAATAAGATGTTAATAATAAATAAATAAGTTTTTAAGATATCAAGATTACGATTTATATCTATATTTGTTAGATTATATAGTTGTATAGGAAAGGCTATGATTGGCCAGTATAGTACTTAGTACGTATTAAAGTATATCGGTGTAAACTAGGCCTATATCTATGGAAGATCAATCGTCAACAATCGTCAAGTATGGCGACCAAAAGAGTGAGGGAGTTATGTACCCCTTTTAGCAAATTGTACAGAAAAAATACGTCCGCATTAAATACGATAACGCAACGTATGTATGCAACTGTGAACGAAGGTGACACTCAAGTAACTCACACTGGTCAGGTGAGCTATCCTTTATTCACGCTCATTATTTGAAGAAAAAGGGTTTAACCCTTTCAATAATTTTTTTTTTTTTTTCTTAAATCAAAATTATATCGATTTTATCAGGTATTCGAAAAAGATGACTATCGATTGGTAAGATTCGTGGACAGGCCAAAAGAAGTTAATGAAAATTGGGCGATTAAATTGATAAATGAAGTGCCACCATCTCCTAAAAAAGAAAGAATAGTAGCTTGCGATGGTGGTGGAGGCCCACTTGGACATCCTAAAGTGTATATAAATCTGGTAAAATATATGTCAATATACACATAGACTATTTATATTCAAGCATATGTTAGTCAATATTCATTGTTGAAAAGATTTAATTTATAAATAGTACTATACAAATATAATAAATAACATATTGAATCTATTTAAAAAAAAAATCATATTTGTTTTATTCTTTTTCTAGGATAAACCAGGCAACCATAGCTGTGGTTATTGCGGTTTACGTTTTTATAAAGAGGATCATCATTAGGTAATCACTATATATAAGTAGTTACATTATCAATTAAAAAATATGTATATATTTTAGAATACAGTGTGCATGTTTTATGTTGAAATAAAATAAAACTGTGCAATTTATACAATGCATTTTAATCATATCTTAACTGTACCAAATAATATATATTTAATAATATAGATTTCTATAAAGCCTGCTATCAGATAGTGTACCAGTATCACGACATACTTGTATATGTTTGAATAAGATGTTAATAATAAATAAATAAGTTTTTAAGATATCAAGATTACGATTTATATCTATATTTGTTAGATTATATAGTTGTATATATAGTTTAAAAAATATTATTT